GGGGATTAATTACGGCGAACTGCCCTTTCTCTTTCAAGAAGGCGTGGTGTGTGTGTTTGCATACGGAAAGCTTCCCTCCCTCTCTTCAAGAAGGCTTGGAGTGTATGTTAGAGTGATACGGCAATATGTTTGTACCCAAGTTGGCCTTGCTCTCTGTGAGATATTTGGCGCCTCTGGCTGCAGCACCGTACGAGCTCGGCGCGGCCCTGACGATGGTTGATTCCGTGGCGTTAACACGAGGCTCGAGCACGTCAGTTGAGCTCCCAGCGCTTCAACTCTGATCAACAAATACAACGGTGCCTGAAACGATAAGGCTGTTGCGTCTGCTGGCGTGTTACGGACATAGTCCCGTCTACGTAACGCCGGTAAACGCTGACGTCACACGTCAGTTCCTCCGGGAGCGTTATATGTACGCTTGGGCGTGGACGCTAAATCTTTAGCTTGCCTTCGTTTCGTGTTGACCGAGATGCAGCGAAATTCTGCGACAAACCCAGGTTGCTTGCTTTTCGTTTATGAGGAGCGGAGATATTGAACCTTTCGCGGGTCTCCCCTCGGCACATGCTGTTCGTCTTCGTTTGGTGCCATCCGTAAATGCTTTCCGGCATGTCGATTTTGATTCCGGTTGGGCCTTAATTTTTTTTCCTGCTCGTACGGGTGACGTTGTCGGCCGTGCTTTCGTGACTGTCGCCCCATCTCTTTCCGATCTTTCAGTTATCACCGACTACGTACCGAAGTCAGCTCGGGGAGGCGCGAGGGGTGCCATGCTTGCGGCATCGGTACTAGCTACCCTTGGGCTTTTGAAGGTAAGGCCCAGGGTCTTTCGTCATTCATGACTTATTTTTTCAGGGTCGACTCGTTAACGGTGCTTGTCGTGGTTGAAGACACGGTGGTGACGTAAGATCATTTCTTCGGTGATGAGCAGTACATAACTTTGGACATGTATGCGTTTGGTGGAGGTCCTACGTTGAGGCCTTGCTCATCCCCTGCTGAAGTACTGCTGTGGTAATTTGAAGCGCTTTTCGAAATCGTGTGCGGCGGAGAGGGGAAAAACGATGAAAATATCATCGGAAAACATAAGCGGGTGTTTTCCTGTCCCGCCACTTCCCCGTCTGTTGCAGCTCAACCTTACTGGTGCTGGCCTCACGGAGACACTCAAGGCCACTTGGAGGGGGCCCAAGCCGAAAGAGGAGAGCGCGAAATAGACACACACAAACAAAAGAAGACACAACAGGGGCTCCGTTCAGCCACCAGAGGGCTCACTTGAAAGCTGTCAATGCCGGAGGCCTGTCATCTCATGGAGTTTCCGTGCGCGATAGCCTTTGCTGCAGGTCGGCAATACCAAACCGGAGGCTGTTGTGCAAAGCTGTGGGAGATTGTATAGGCCACACAACAGCACTGTAAATATAGGCGTCGGTATGCATAGCTTCTGGTAGCTCGACCAACCCGAGCCTTTCGTGTTGTTTGACAAGGCAGGTTGTCCGCTGTAAGCCATCTCCATTCCTACTTCTGCCGATGCAGAAGGGAGGTACGTTTTTTGTTCGTGCTCCCTGTCGCTTTCAGTATTGCCGATTTGCGTTTGTAGGCGTAACTAGCTGCTGATTGTCGGACTGGGTGTCTCAATCAAGTCTTTTGTGTGTGCCCTCGTTCAGCTCAGGGCGCCATCGGCGCAGAGAGCCCCTTGCTGTGGGTACACTCGCACTGTGTAAGAGATACAATAACTCGTTTCCTAAGCTTCGGTGTCGCGCGTGCAACGCGGCGAACCCGTTTCGTCAAAAGGGGGTCAGGTGGGCTCAGTTTCTAGTCCGGAAGGAGATCATGGGCTGAGAAGAGAAGTTGACTCAAGCCGCGCCTTATTACCGTCAAGAGAGAATAATCTGGGAAATGCACCGTCGTTAGGCTGTTCCAGAGCCCGGTGGATCAGCGTCCCAAGACATCAAATGCTGCCATCGCCCCGCATACTAGGTTACCATGGCTTCTACTTCAATTTTTCGCAAAAAGAAAACAACACAAAGCTTAACTATATCGTCAACAACTGCTGTGCGCGAAAATCCGCGTACCACACATGATTAGCCAATCTCTGGCTCTCACCTCCATTACATACTGTAGGGGTCTAACAAGGAATATATAAATTTCTTGCGCGAAGCGCGAAAAAGTAGGGGCGGCGAGAGCATTTCATTATAGGACACACACTACCAGTGTAGAAGCGGCATAGAGCTCAAGGGAGGCGTGTTTCGGTGTGTACCCCGTTGCTTGCTTATGCTAACCGTTCCAAATCTTGCTCCAGGCAGACATCTTTCGCAATGTGGAAGCGGGGTGATGTCAATGTCCTCGGACTACCTTTTCCCGCCAGTGCTAAACGATGGCAGCCGTGGGCCCTCGAAGCTTACGGCGACCCAGATGAGGTTGTCCACAAAGGCGCATTTGCGGGCGGCCGACCTAAGTACCCATTTTCCGTACATTTCTTTTCGAGTGGGGGGGGTTCGTTGAGCAGGTGCGTCCATGGACGGCTCCACCATGAGAAAGAGGAGTCCGTGCAGATAGATGGGAGGTTGGAGAACGGAGTTGATGACCAAGTACTACAGCACGTTGAGCCTTCCAAACGGCAGCGGGCGGCCAGCTACGCGGCCACACCAAGCGATTATCTCATCAGCTGCTGCTGCTGTAGGGGAAACTTGGAGAAACTACGCGCACATGTGGGTGTGGACTTGCTTCCCTCGGTTTTACGCCGCTAGCACAGCAGTGTAGTCTAGGAAACGGGACAGAATATACAATAATTATCAATATCGCGCCTCCTATGATGTACACAGCAGTAGTATTCCTATGGCCGATTACTAACGCCAGACTTACATAGGGAAAATGGATGGAGCATGATGCAAAGATCTAGACGGACCAACTCCAGGTGATCACCAGGAACAACGCATACAACCTTTGCACACAAGCCGTGAAGAAGCAAGGTAGCGTCAGACGGCGTCTGTCTGTCTCGACGAAATCGAGGGAACTCGGAACGCAAGTAAAACGAAAACAAGAGATATGTACTGCTGCTCGCTGTGTCTTGAAGTTCAAGACTGCTGTTCTTTTCGGATATTTAAGCAGGTGCCATTTGGCGTGCTGCAGGGGGGTAGAGAAGGGAGAGAAGTACTTCATATCATCGGTGGATCGTGGGATCCTCTTCAGAGCGCGTCTCCGAAGTCTCCGAAGATGGGGGCTCGTGACCAGGATTATATTGGTACGTAGGGGTCATACATCCATCCATGTGCCCCCCCCCAACTATGATCATCTGGGTGGGTGTGTCGTGCGCCTGTCTCTCGGCGTCTCTCTGGTGTGTCCCCTGTTCCCACTTCCAGCACACACAGCTGTGGAGTTGAATCACGCATCGGGAGCAAGGTGAGCTTGTTTGGCGATCCGAAGCAGCCTCGGGGTGAGCTATAGAGCTTGGAATATTGGAGCATGTTGCGGGCTTTTTTATCCGCCCATGACCTTTGCAAGCACATTGGTAACGATGGCTACTTGTCGAGGCCTGCCTGCTGGGTGTGTGCGTGGTGCCCTAATGTGCGTTATGGCACACCTCGGGCTGCGAGGTTTGTTCGTGGCTTGGCCCTTTCGGAATTCTGCGCGATGAACCTGGTGGTCTGTTTGGTCGATCGTGCTGCTGCTGCTGCTGCATTGCTCCGTCTTGTTACCAAAACCGCCTCCCACTGCTGCACTGCACGACACCGCCGTTGGTATACAGTACCCCCCCTGTCCCGACGTGACATGCCACCGGTCGTCCACGGAAGCTACAGATTGAGATCGATATGCTCGCGGCGTTAGTTCTGCTCGGCGTGGTGGGGGCGTGTGCTGGGCTCGGTTTCCTCTCCCAGGTGAGAGACTTGCTCATAATATGTGGGACCTGGTTCACTACGCAGCCCCTTGTACCACAACAATAAACGATCGCTTATTACCAGACTCTTGTGCCCATATTGGTGTGCTGTTGCATTGTGGCAGCGTGCGAAGCTTGAGCATGCATGACAGGGTGGGTAACGGCGTATTGTTTCACCATGCGGTATCAAACCGCATGGGGGGCTCCCTGCGTGCCAGATATATGTTGTCTATTTCTCAAAAGGTATTCATCACGATCGCCGTGGCGGAACTTTCGGGGCAAGTGGTACGCAGAACAGCACAAAACCGTTAGATGTTTTGTGCTGTATTGCATGCCGACAAGCCGGACGTACACACGTCGTTGAAGAAACTCTCAACCTCAAGATTAAACACCCCGGTCTTCCGCGTGTGCGAGGACTTCCGCGCGTGCTTCTTGTTTGGTAGCGTGAACTAGCTGTGCATTCGACTCCGATGTATCTAGATATCGCTCTCTTTTGGTCACGGAGATTCTTCGTTGGACGGGATGATAATGACGCATATCCAACTTCTTGGTGTCGCACTTTGTGACTAAACTCTCGCAGCAGGGGGAGCATCGCTTAGTTTATGCTGCTTTGGGGAATAGTAGAAACACATATACTGCTGTAGTGCTCCGCTAGCGCTATGAATCCATGGCTAATTAATCTCACTGATTTCAACCCAATCCTTATCTGCGTTGTTGCGTTATTTTGACTTTTGAAGAATCAAGAGAAATCGCTCCTCTCTCTTTTCCTCGAAAATTCAGGAACATGTAGAAAGTCTGAGGGCGCAGGCTTTCGAGGCGAAGCGGTGGATCTTGCAAAAATTGGACGCGCTCGGCCAGCCACCGGACGGGGACTCGGACTGCGACGGCGATATAGAGGCGGGGTGAGCCGGCGCACTCCTTGTGCATGTGTAGAATTGATTGTTTTAAACCCTAACCCTAACCCTAACCCTACTTGGTATTTTTAGAAACCGCCGCCAAAATACCGCCGTGGTGGGCGGTACCGGTATACCGCCGTTTACCGCCTTTTTTTGGTTTTACCGCCACCGCCAAACTTGTTACCGCCACCGAAGGCATTACCGCCTACCGTCAAAACGAATACCGCCGATTTGCAATACCGCCTAAAACATGTTCGCCTACAAAACCGATATCGAGTAAACCCTTGTTTTTTCTACTTCTTAATTGTTTTGTCAAAAGTCAAGGCAAGCCTCTAACCTGGTGTCGTTGAGGTCAAGCACCTGGCATCCTTGCAAACGTCGCATAACTTTCAATAAGCGTTCGAATGTGACCCGCACTGTTCTAGCTTTTTGTTGCTGTTTCAAGTTAGTTCACCACACCGATGATGTCGCTCGTGCACGCGTGGGAAACACATTTTCACGTGGAAACACACTGAAACATGCAACGGACAAGAGGGTTGCCGGTTGGTCCCTTGTCTTAGGCCAGCCTCGTATTTTCGCTGTGTTGCCCGGTTGGCGATCAACCTCGTCCTGCCCCATGGGTGGCCCCCAGGCCCGCCTGTATGTGTCTATATCGATGGGTGGCATGGCCGTGGCTGCCACTTCTTTGGGCCACCGCTGCTCATCTGGCCATGTGCTTCCTCTCACGACTTTTTTCGCCTACTATCGTTGTACGCCCCCAGGTTTGGGGAGGTGCGGGAAGCGTTAGTAGACAACGGGAAGCGGGCTGCGTCGGTGCAGCAATCTAAGCCGGTGCGACCGATCCGACGAAGGTGATTCTTCGTGCGCAGCGAAACGATTTTCTGCCAGTAGCCAGTAGCCACGGCCACCGCCCTGCTGCAGCAGACAGACGCTGTTATCATGTCGCCGCAGCGGTAGGAGGCGGGAGCAGGGTTGGGGAAGTGCATTATTTGCAGCTGTTGTTGTATCGAGGCAAGTGATAGAAGAGTCACCCCGGCGACGGCTATTGCAGCGTTTCCGCCACTGGCACTCTCGATCGATTGAACGTGCACGTGACAACTCGCAATGTCATGCTGTCTGACACGTTAGATGATCTGACCTAGCATACATTCGGCGTCACACCCTCCGGTATACAGGTCATGCCCTGCACCAGCAGAAGTTTCAGCAACATCTGTTGACTATTTGAACGCTTAAGACGCCATCGTGAAAATGGCTTGCCCTACAACGGAACAATTCAACTAGAAAGCACGATGTCAGCTGATGATTAGAAGCGAGGGGCCTCGTCCTCGAGGACGGGCTCGCAGAGGCGAACGTGTAGGATGGGTGCAGGTGTGGTTGGTGGCTTACGGCAGGAAAGTAGTGATCCGCGCTGAACACCATCTATCCTGTACACCCCCTCTACTTTGTGTATCGGTTCCGGCACCGTTCTCACCCGAGTACTGTATTGTTGCGTCACTTACTATTACTACGGCAACACCTGCATACGAGACGAGTATCTGCCGCAAGAGAACGTTGCATGCCAAACGAGAACGCCGGGCGTGGCTCTCCTTTTCCGGCTACCCCGTCAACCATTGTGCTGTTTTTTTTGGCGATCGATGCCGCCCACGAATCGAACAACTCCCCCCCCCCTACCCCCGCCCGCCGATTTCTTTGTAACGTTGCGACTTCTGCTGTGTTGCAGCGTACATCGCGGTCAAGCCGGCGGGACGTCGACTTGCGTGTCCAGCGGCCCTTCGTCGGAGTACGAAGGCTTGTTCGACTGCGCGACAGACCAGCAGGAGCAGCTGCCCCAGCTGCCGAGACCCAAGCTTGCCACGGCGATGAGCTCGGGATCAAGACCGGGGGAGGGCAAGGTACCGAAACGTGTGAGGGAAACTCTCGTCACAGCACCACTATAACAGCAAACTTCATTAGCAAACTTCATTCATATATTCTGTAAGGCGTGATGCAAGATGGAAGTATTTTGGTGTTAATGAGATGCCAGCTGGCATCAGCTACGTTTGCCAAGCTCGAAGAGCCCAGCGAACCTGAACGACCAAAAGAAGTAACGACACATCTGTCATGCATGTACAGTCGTTC